TATTAAAAACAAGAAGGCTGTAGAAATAGACAAAAGGTACCTTAAATCAAATACTAAGTGACAGCTTATTCTCTGGTAAGAGCAACTAGGAAATCTTATACGCTCTCAAAGAAAGCAAGCGGCACCATGAGTTCAGTTTGTGTTCACAACTCTTACTGGCACAACATTTCCAAGGTGCCCCATTCAGTGAGTGTCATAGGTCTTGATGCACTAAGTGAAACTGACAGATCACATGTCCCTTCCATGGATGTCATGGGATGCTCTTCAGAGCACAGTACACAGAGACATCTTTAGTAATGCAGACATTAAGGTAGGTAATCAGGGAAAAAGAACTCTTTTTAAAGTTTAGTAATTTTTCTTACTGGCCTTTCTCACCTCTGTCATTTTTGTGTGTGAACTTGTTTTTAGGTATGATTTAGAAGTACGTGATCATTTTATTTTTTTTTCTATGATTTTATTTTTGAGTAATCTCTACACCTAGCGTAAGGCTCAAACTTACAACCCCCAAGATTTAGAGTTGCACGCTCTAGCCAACCAGGCACTCCTAAAAGTAAGTTCCTGATCATTTCATTAAAATGTTTTAAGTAAAGGAGTAGTGGATCCCAGTGATTCAGCCTTAGTTTCCCAATTTTTTTTTGAAAGTAGACTCCACACCCAGTGTGGGGCTTGAACTCAGGACTCTGACAGCAAGAGTCACACGCTCTACTGACTGAGCCAGCCAGGTGCCCCTATTACTTTCCCAATTTTTTGAAGAGGGGTGGGGCTCAGAATGAGAGGAAGGGAGAGAATCTTCTTTTTAAGGTTAATATTTATTTTTGAGAAAGAGTGAGCGCACACATGCACACGCAGGTTCACCGTGAGTGGGGGGAGAGTCAGATAGAGGGAGAGAATCTTAAGGAGGCTCCACATCCAGTGCGAGCCTGAGCCCTACATGGGACTCCATCTCACAACCCTGAGATCATGACCTGAGCCGAAATCAAGAGTCAGACATTTAACCAAGTGAGCCACCCAGACGTCCCCTACTTTCCCAATTTTTAAATCAGCTAGTCATCTAGTAGAAAATTAAAATCCTTAATAAAGACCTAAAGGCAAAACTATAAATTTCTTAGAGGAAAATATCTTCATATCTTGAGGGTAGGAAAACATTGACCAACTGTACTACATTAAAATCAAGAAGTTTTGATCAAAGGTAACATAAAGAGAGTAAAAAACCATACAGTGGAAGAAGATATTTGTAATACATACAACCAGATAATTGGCATCCATAATATAAAAATAATCTTATAAATCAATGAGGAAAAGGCGAAAACTCTCTAAGAAAAATTAGCAAGAGACTTGAACAGGCACTTTTAAAAAAGAAGCTATTCAAGAGACCACTAAATAAAAGGTGCTTGGTTTCATTAGTCATCAGGAAAATGCAAGTAAAAACAATAAGGAGATGCTGCTATAGAACCATCAAGTTAGCAAAAATCAACAAATCTAATTGTACCAAGGGCTGACGAAGTTTGTAGGGCAATAAGAATTCTGAAACACTGCTGGAGGGAGTATGGACCAGCACGGTCAATTTTGAAAAACAGTTTAGCATGACCCAGTAATCAAGTATAGTATGTATCCTAAGGAAATACATGTTTAAGCATGCCAGGATTCATGGATAAGGAAAGGTCACAGAAGTATTGCTTGTAATAACCCAAAACTGCAAATAACATCAAGTGCTTTCAACAGTGGAATGGATAAAATGGATCTAATCCTATCGTGTATTAACAGCCAGGAAAATGAATGACTACAACTACACACAACATGAGGGACCCTTGCACACATAATCTTGAGTAAAAGAGCAAAACTACACAAAGAATAATTCTCCCTCTATAAAATTCAGAAACAGGCACTAAGTTACATTTTCAAGGAGGTATCCATCCTTATGTTGTAAAACTGTATAGAAAAACAAAGAAATGATTACCATAAAAGTCAGGATAGTTGTTACCTCTGGAGAAAGGAAAGGAAGGACCCCTGGGTGCCAACCAAACCCACCTCCAACACTTACAAGGCCTCAGCAAGAGTACAGATTGAGGCCCACATACCCACGAGTAAATATTTAAAAGATACGAAACAAGCTTACAAACTATTAAATAAAATCCGTTCTATCCTCCTATCATGACAAATATACCTTTATAATTGCCTGGAAAGGCAGATTCACAAGAGAATTTTTGGATTCCTTAGAGTTCTGTACAGAAACATGGTGGTACAGGGAGAACTGGCCACTGGCCCACTGCTCATCACCCCCTTCTCCCTCCCACACTGCCAAGGATCTCACACACAAGCATGCAGCCACCTCCACTCACAAGTCCAACCGCCATCCCACAAACTACTCTCCACAAACAGCCATACTCAGGCCGTTCCTTGTATACACCAGCAGCTCACACCACCCTCAGAAGGACGGATCCTAGGAAAGGGACTCACACAGGCTCTGGAAATAAGCTCAGGGCCATTTGGGCAAGAAATTCTGAGATCCTAGGTACTTAAGTGTGGTCTGGCATGGAAGAGCTCTGGCTCTAAGTGGGCATGTCCCATAGACTCCCAGAGACTGCCCCACGGAAGATGGCCAAAGCAGGGCCCACTGAAGCACTGGGCCAGGGCAAGGACTCCTCCTGCCAGAAACAAAATTTCCTTAGACCCATGCAACATTATATTCCTTAGCCTGGACAGCAGTAACATGGGCACTGACTTGATAATTTTTGTTCAACTATACATAGAAGTTTCATGTACTTCTTTCCCCCAAGTAACGGGGCAGACATCATGTGCCTGCTGATCTGACACACAATATCACAGAGACCCCTGCCAAAAATCCATAACCTGAATCTAATCATCAGATGATCAGAGCCAAATCTAGAGACTTTCTGCCAAACAGACCTAACTTCTTCAAAACGTGTCTGTTCTAAAAGGTAAAGAAAGACTGCAAAACCATTCTTTACTGAAAGAAACTAAATACATGTGAAACTGAATGGACTCCATGATCCTTAATGGGATTCTGCATCAGAAATGAAAACCTTATAAAGGATACTATTAGGACAGCTGATTAAATTTAAATATGGACAACTGACATTATATCAACATTTAATTCTCTTATTTCAATAACTGTACTAGAGTTATGTAATAAAATTCTTGGGAGATATATTCTGAAGTATTTAGGGGTAAAGGGTCGCTGTGTCTGCAACTTATTCTCAGATGGCTCAGCAAAAATAATACGTGTACACATATGGAGTGTTAAAGCAAATATGGCAAAATGGTAACTGATGAATCCAAAGAAAGGGCATATGCACTGGACCATTCTTACAACTTTCATATTTTAAAATACTTTCATAATAAAAAGTTTTTAAAATACACTAAAAGGTTAAACAAGAAAGACGTGGTCTGTGGGGAGAGGAACTAGTGACTGCGACAGGAGAAGATAAAGACTTTGAATTTGGTCCATTTTTCCATCATATTGTTGTGTTTCTCGTTTTGTTCATATTCGAAAAAAAATTCACTTTCACTTCAAGGGGGAGAAGAAATCCTAGAACATTGCAAGAAGAAATATTAGCAACTGTAGAAACAAGAAAAACTTTGCCCTTAAATGTATCTGTCGACTCACAGCCGTCCTCAAATGGTTACTCTGTAAAGTCAGCCTACAGAGAAGGTGCTGCAGGAACACACCTAACAGACGCATCCCCACGCAACGGGATGCAGAATAAGAGGCATAACGGGACATGGATATTAACGTTCTGCTTCTAGAACAATCACAGATTTGTAACATGGTTCACAGCCTTCATTCGATAATCCAGAAAGTGAAGCACACGGTTATCTCACTTTTGATATTAACAGAAATGCATGCATTTTTAACAATTATCAGTGACCTTCTGCAAAGCTCTGCAGGTGACATGGAGAGACCTGCCCAACATAGTCACTGTCCTCAAGAAGGCAACTTAGCAGAGTAAAGAAGACTTGAACCGAAAATCTTAGTTATTCCACACAGTACCTATGTGATCTTGGGAAGTTATTTGACCAGGGATTTCATTTTCTCATCAGTATAATGAAGATGCCACCCAACTATCTTTAGAGGTAAGACAGTTGCCTCTAAAGGATATAAGGATAGACTACGTATGTCAAGCACATAGGACAACAGAGACTGAATGAAAGGTAGCTATTTCAGGAGTGTTACAGTCTAACATAATGAAGCTGAAAATCTTGCAGAGCCAATTAAGAGCATAACTACCACTGAAATCCTGATTACTCCAAGTTTCTAATCCAAGTAAATTCACTCTCCTTAAACACCAAGTAACAACACAATTGTCTGTGTGTGTGGACCAAGAGTTGTTCCCTGACACACCTCTGGCAAAAGCATCTCTCTCTTACTCACCAAGAAAAACAGCACTAGGTTGGGGGGGTATTTTTTTCCTCATTAACCAAGAAAGATTTTAGGTTGAGCAGTAATAGTAGCCTTTGCAAGATACTCTGACTTTATCAAGACCCTGTTTGTCCAGGAATACATGTCCAAATTATTCCAAAAGCTGAAGCCAGAGAAGGTATTTCTTTCAACTAATTTCCAATCTTCTTTTACCAGCAGACATAAAACTTATACTACATGAAATCCATTTCAAACATCTCCTTCCAGTTTAGTGGCAGAGATTGCCCTTTACGTTATTTTGTAACCTAATCCTTAGCCTTCCTCATTAGCAAAGTGACAATATTTCATATTAAACAGCTGACTTCCAGGCATCTGTGAAAGATACAAACCAAAACCCAATGGTTACAATGAAAAGAGCCAAACTTCAAGCCTGCTATAGCAGGGACTCATAATTTAAATTGTTCACTGTGCTTATTCTCTATTCCTTGAGATGATGTGGGCACAAATAAAAGGAAAACAATTAAATACATTTAAAGATAGATTAGTTTAGAATATTTGCATATCCCACAGGCACAGCTATCTCATACAATAAACATATCATAATCAAACATGCAAATACCTGAAAGAGTGCTACCCGTCCTAGGATAGGCCACTTCAACATACACTTCAAATGTGGTCTCTGGGTTCTGCCTACAAAAGAAACAGATCGTGATTACTGACAAGGGTTGAGGCAGCAGGGTACAGAACATGTGGGCTGTGGTATAAAGTAGACTTTAATTAAAATTATTAACTCCACGACTTAATAGCTATGGAGCTTTGGCCACGGTCCTCAACTTCTGAGCCATGCCTTCCTCATCTAAAAAATGAAAATACCGGGGCGCCTGGGTGGCTTAGTCGGTTAAGCGTCCGACTTTCACTTAGGTCATGATCTCACGGTTCGTGGGTTCGAGCCCCGCGTCGGGCTCTGTGCTGACTGTCAGCTCAGAGCCTGGAGCCTGTTTCGGAGTCTGTGACTCCTTCTCTCTCTGACCCTCTCCTGCTCACGCTGCCTCTCTCTCTCTCTCTCTCCTAGAAGTAAATAAAACATTAAAAAAATTAAAAAAAAAAAATAAAAATAAAAATAAAAAATAAATAAAAAATGAAAATACCTAAGCAGAAGAATTATTGGGAAGCTTAAAGAAAACACACAAAAACTGTCTGGGTTCAATGCCAGGCAAATAATAGGCCAGCCGTTATTATGATTCCATAGATGTCATATTTTGAATTTACACAGCTGTGCCTCCAAAGCCACAGGCAGGATTGTGAGGAAACTCAAATCGAGGCACCACTAACACAAAGTAGCTTCTCCCGGCATATCCCAGGATAAAATGCATATGATGCAGTCGACTTGCTTATTTTTAGGTTTTAAGGACTGAAACAAGAGAAACAGTACCCTAAACCACAGGTTATTATGAAGACAAGGTGCTAATCTAAATAAAAGATACCATTCCCAAGGTGCCTGAGTGGCTCATTTGGTTAAGCATCCAGCTCTTGGTTCTGGCTCAGGTCATGATCTCACAGTTTGTGAGTTGGAGCCCTGCATCCGGCTCTGCACTGGCAGCGTGGAACCTGCTTGGGACTCTCTCTCTGCCCCTCCCCTGCTCATGTAAGCTCTCTCCCTCTCTTTCAAAATAAATACATAACACTTAAAGATACCGTTCCCACATAGGGGGCTTCACCTGTATTGGCAATGTCAAATATATGAATGTTCATTACTATATTCTTTTACCTCTTTATGTCATAAATATTTCATAAGTTTGAAAAAGATCACAGCACTAACAGAATATTAACAGCTGTTAATTCTGAATGATGAGAACACTAGGTTATACTATCTTTGAATTTTCTCTTTGATTCTGAAACTACAGTAAAAAGTTATTTCCAGATTGGGGCACTTGGGTTGCTCAGTCAGTTAAGTGTCTACTCCTGATTTTGGATCAGGTCATGTTCTCTCACAGTTCATAAGATTGAGCCTCCGTGCTACTTGGGATTCTCTCTCCCCACCCCTCCCCCACTCATACACACTCTCTCCTTCTCTCTCCCTCCCTGTATCAAAATAAACAAACATTTAAGGGGTGCCTGGGTGGCTCAGTAGGTTTAGCATCCGACTTAAGCCCAGTTCATGATTTCCTGGTCTGTGAGTCCAAGCCCCACATCAGGATTTGTGCTGACAGCTCAGGGCCTGGAGCCTATTCAATCTCAATCTCAATCTCTCTCTCTCTCTCAAAAATAAACATTTTTAAAATTTTACTTAACATTTAAAAAAATGATTAACTAAAATTCATATTGAGTTCCAGATTGACAGAAAATCGTTTAGAAAACAATGTTATACTTTGAAATGTCTATAACTGAATTCTATTTTACACCTGACAACAAGGCTCAGAGAAGAAACTGAGTCACCTGGTCAGTTCTAATGGTTAATTTCAATCAAATAAATACTTTGAATTTGCTCAGTATATTCCAATTTTCACAATAACTCTCATTCATCTCACTTCAAACTCATTATACTCCTATGAGGGCAGGCAGATCAATTATTATCTGAGGAGCATGAGGCAGAGATTCTATGTGACTTGCTGGTGGTCCCACAGCTAGTCAGAAACACAGAATCAGAATTCACCCTCCTGGCACACAAATTCTGTGTTCCACTGTTTCTAGATGAACCTTTTTCCCCACATTTCCACACCTCTCACAATCTATTGCATCTTACAATGCTAAACGGCAGCATTTTTTTAAGAGATAGACAGCATTTTTTTTTTCTGGTTCAGTTTCTTTATTTTTTTAACAAATAGTTTATTGACAAATTAGTTTCCACATAACACCCAGTGCTCATCCCCACAGTGTCCTCCTCCATGCCCATCCCCCCTCCCCCCCACATCCATAAGTCCTCAGTTTTTGTCAGCATTCAAGAGTCTCTCATGGTTTGCCTCTCTCCCTTTCCCCCACCATTTCCCCCCTTCTTCTCCCCCTTGTTCCTCCATTAAGTTCCTCCTAATCCTCCTATACGTGCAAACATATGTTATTTGTCCTTCTCTGCCTGACTTATTTCGCTCAGCATAACACCCTCAAGGTCCATCCATGTTGCTACACATGGCCAGATTTCATTGTTTCTCATTGCCATGTAGTATTCCAAGACAGCATTTATTTTTGAGAGACAGAGAGACAGAGCACGAGCAGGAGGGAGGCAGAGAGAGAGGGAGACACAGGATCCAGGCTCCGAGTGGTCAACACAGACCCCGACATGGGGCTCAAACCCACAAACCACGAGACCATGACCTGAGCTGAGTTGGGTGCTTAACTGATTGATCCACCCAGGGGCCTCTTTCTTTCTTAATAATACATATTAACAGTGCATTTTACAAATAATGTCATCTTAATATTCAATAAAATATGTTAATACTCCCTTCTCCTTCCTTAGGAGTAAGAAAACTTTGTGCTTTGTCAATCAAGGGTCTATTTAGTTATCTTGTGAAGACCATCATTCCTTCACTAAAGAGAAGCTTTTGCTTTAAATAAAATAAATACCTGGAGTGAGGAGTTGGCTGCTCTAAAGTTCAAGGTATTAAATATACATTGTCAAACATAATTTTAAAATCAGACAGTAAAGCAGACCATTTTATTTAAAAAGCTAAATAAAACAAAGTAAACTGAAGTTTTAAAAGAGCCTGAAGGGGGCCTGGGTGGCTCAGTGGGTTAAGTTTCCAACTTTGGCTCAGGTCATAATCTTGTAGTCCATGAGTTTGAGCCTGGTGTCGACAGCTCAGAGCCTGAGCCTGCTCCAGATTCTGTGTCTCCCTCTCTCTCCGCCCCTCCGCTGCTCGTACTTGATCGATCTCTCTCTCTCTTTCTCTCTCTCAAATATAAACATTAAAAAAATAAATGGAATAAAAAAATTAAAATCTTAAAATTTTTTTGAGTTTTCCCTGCAGGAGGGTACAAAAAGCTCTACCAGGTCAGCATTCTTTAGCCACCAAACATTGTGGAAAATATCATATGGAAACATCCCTTTCATTCAATGGATCTCAAAGTGGAGGGTTCGATGAAAGAAAAGGAATGTTCTTTGGCCATCTAAAGAACATCAGAAAGATTCCTTCTAAAACCTAAACAAAACTTTCTTAAGCCTTTTAGACACTGGAGCTCTGATATATTAACCTGTGCCACTAGGTTGAGGCGTTTTGTACAGACCTACTATCTAAGTGAAGACTGTCCTAAAGTCTATACTCACTGCCTCTGCTGCTTCTCCTCCTTTTCTCTAATACACTTCAACCAGGCCCTTGGACTCACCACGACACTGCGACAACTTGTCACGATTACCAACCACCTCCACATGGCTAAAATGGCCAATTCTCAGGGCTTGTCTTAATCTCTCAGCAGCATTTGACACAGTTGATCGATTTTCCCCTCCTTGAAACACCTTCTTCTCTTGCCTTCCAGGATATCACTCTCTATTGGTTCTCTTTCTACCTTACCGGCTGCTCCATTGTTAATTCCTTCTCATGTAAGCTCTCCTACCCTTGAATTTAGTCCTGGACCTCTCCTGGTCTCCACTCATTACTGAAGATGATCTCATTCAGCCTCATAGCTTTATTACCATGCAAATGCTGACAAGCCCCAAAATCATGTCTCCAACCTTCCCCGACTCCAGACTCCCTTATTCAACTACCTACTCAACATCCCCACATGAACCAATAAGAAGCATTTCTAACTTAACAAATGGTGCTTTTCTTCCTCAAATCTGCATCACCTGAAATCTACCAATTATTCAGACCAAATAATACTTGGGATCATCTTTGACCCCTCTGTTTTGTATGCACCAATCATTTACATACCACAATCAGCAAATACCATTGGTTTGATCATCTAAATATACCCAGAATCTGAATGCTTCTCCGCATCCCCAACCCTACTAACTTTCCATGTCAGCATCATCTCACCTCAATGACTGTAATACCCTCCTGACTGATCTTGCTGCTTCCTCTCCTGCCCTCCTTCAGTCAGATTTCAACTTAGTGGGCAGTAATCCATTTATTGCAAAGGTCAGTTTATGTCAGGCCTCTGCTCAAAACCTCCTCAAAGTGTTCCATCTCACACAAAGTCAAAGTTAAATCTTAGTTCTGGGGATGGATGATGGGGATGGCTGCATGACAATATGCACATACTTAAAACCACTGAACTGTACACTACAAAATGGTTAAGATGGTCAATTTTATATGTATTTTATCCTAACCAAAAAAAAAAAAATAAAACTGGGGCACCTGGGTAACTCAGTCTGTTGAGCGTCCAATTCCTGACTTCAGCTCAGGTCATGATCCCAGAAGTCCTGGGATCAAGCCATGTGTTGTGCTGTGCATGGAGTCTGCTTAAGATTCTCTCTCTCTCCCCTCTGCCCCTCTTTCCCACTTGTGCTCTCACATGCACATGCATGTCCACTCACTCTCTAACAGAAAAAGAAAAAAACAACTGAGGAGGGGGGAAAAGTCCTTACAAGGGTCTATGTGGTCTAGCCTCTATCTCTCCAACTTCATTTCATATGTTTCCCTCTTGATCACAGCACTCCAGCCACATTGCCTTCTTTCAGCTCCTCAAACACACCAAACTCATTCCTATCTACAGTCTTTGCATTCATCTTCATATGGCTGACCCTTCCTGTCATTCAA